GGGCGAAGTTGGTCAATGTGCTGACGCAGGACACGACCGTTGTCCAGGGATACCTCGTAGGATAGAGGGCCTGTGACCCTGGATATAGTTGCAGGGACCCATGTATGACCAGGCCCGTAATTACGAGTCCAAACCGGGGCACCCACAAGTAGTTGCCTAGGTGCCCTGGGGTGTGAGACAGAAGGAGGCAGTCTGTCCGGATGCAACCGGTCAAGCTTGGTAGTCAGTTTGCGCCCCCAATGAAGTTCAGCTGGGCTTCTCCCTGTAGAAGTGGACGGTGTGGTGCGATAAGAAAGGAGGAAGTCAGCCAACCTGTGATGCCAGTCCCCGTAGGTGAGCCTCTTCAAGGCGTCCTTGGTGATGCGAACCATGCGTTCAGCCATACCGTTGGTGGACGGGTGGAAAGGTGCAGAAGTGGCATGACGAATCATGTTAGCCTGCAAGAAAGCTTGGAATTCGGAGGAAGTGAATTGAGGGCCGTTGTCAGACACAATGACGTCTGGGAGCCCGTGTGCAGCAAAAATCCCCCTCAGTACCTGAATAGTCTTTGCAGTGGTGGTGGAAGAGACAGGTACAACCTCAAGCCATTTTGAATGGCTGTCAACGAGGACCAAGAAGAATTGACCCTGAAAGGGCCCAGCGTAGTCAATGTGCACCCTAGACCATGGAGACTGTGTTTCCTCCCATCTATGCACAGGAGCTTGGGGCATTTCAGGGCGTGAACGTTGACAAAGGTGGCAAGCATGCACCTTAGCTTCTATGTCTTTGTCTAACCCTGGCCACCACAAGTGGCTACGTGCAAGAGCCTTCATACGAACAATGCCAGGATGACCCTCGTGGAGGGACTCTAAGATCCTAGTCCTCATTGAGGTGGGAATGACAACTCTGTTTCCCCAAAGCAGACAACCCTGAGAAGTGGACAACTCGTTCCTTTTAGACCAGAAACTCTGAAACTCAGGACTAGGACAGTGCTCAGGCCATCCAGACAAAACCCAAGAAAGGACACGTGAAAGTGTGTGATCTGTGCCTGATTCAGCGGCTACATCCCTGGCATTCAGGGGGGACTCGGGCAAAGCTTGAATGGAGAGAATATTGATGGCTGGCGCGGGTCAGCCTCTATTACCGGCAGGGGTAATCTACTGAGGCCATCAGCATGGCCCATTTCCTTCCCAGGCTTGTGAAGTAGGGAAAAATCATATGCAGACAAGAAGATAGATCACCTGAGCATCCTGGGAGAGATGATTTGTGGAGTTTGTTTACGTGTGGTAAACAGTCCCAGCAAAGGCTTATGATCAGTGAAGACCGTGAATTGCCTACCATATAAAAATCATGGAATTTTTTAATTCCAGTAACAACAGCTAAGGCCTCCCTGTCTATTTGAGCATAGTTGCGCTCAGCTGCAGACAATGTCCTGGAGTAATATGCAACAGGAACCTGAGTTCCATCAGCCCTGAGGTGGCTCAGTACAGCAACCACACCATAAGGGGAAGCATCACAAGCGATGCACACAGGAAGGCACTCATTGAAGTGTGCAAGTACACTGTTAGAAGTGAGTAAGGCCTTGACCTCATTGAAACTAGCCTCATGTGTTTGTGACCACTGCCACACTGCCTGTTTATCTAATAGCCTGTGAAGAGGCTCAGCTACACTAGCCTTATGTGGAAGAAAGGAATTGTAGAAATTCAGAAGGCCCAGAAAAGCCTGCAGTTCGGCCTTAGACTTTGGCCTAGGGGCTTGCATAATGGCTTTTAGTTTGGATTCAGCAGGATGAATCCCAGCAGCATCAATTTTGAACCCCAGAAACTCAGTAGAAGGTACCCCAATTTTACATTTGTCCTTCTTGAGTTTGAGTCCCGTTTTCCTGAACCTTAACAGGACAGCCCTTAGCCTTTCAGCTAGAATGTGTGTGGAGTCTCCTGCAATTAAGACATCATCAAAATAGGGGCAAACCCCTGGTATACCCCGTAGTGTGTTTTCCATTATGCTTTGGAAAATCCCAGGAGCGACATTTACTCCAAATTGAAGTCTTTTTACCTTGAAAGCCCCTCTGTGGGTCACAATAGTCTGAGCTATAGCAGCGTCATCATCAACAGGCAGCTGTTGATATGCTTGAGCTAGGTCAAGCTTTGCAAAAACGTGCCCCCCCTTGAGGGAGGCCAGGATATGACTGACCACAGGAACAGGATAGGCATGTTGCTGCAATGCCTTATTTAGAGTGCATTTGTAATCAGCACAGATGCGAATGTCCCCATTTGCCTTAAGAGGCGTGACAATGGGGGTCTCCCATGGACTGGAGTCAACAGGTTCTAGAATTCCTTGTTGGATCAGTTTGTCCAACTCAGTGTCAATTTTACTCTTTAAAGCAAAAGGGACCCTTCTTGCTTTAATTCTAATGGGAGTGACCGTGGGGTCTAACTTTAATGACACAGGGGGTCCTTTGTATGTGCCCAGCTGGGGGCTGAAAACGTCTGCAAATTCTTTGCAGACTTCCTGTAGGTCAAGTGTTTGTAGGCTGTTGAGCCCTGTGACGTGTATCCCCAAGGCCTCAAACCACTTGAGTCCTATGAGACTCGTTCGTTCACCCTCTACTACTAGTAGGTCTAGTGGACCCTCAAAATCCTTACACTGTACGTTAAGGGTGGCCTCCCCCTTAACACACACTCTGGAGTTTTGAAAATCCATTAGCACAATGTCAGAAGGCCTCAACTTGGCCTGGGTTCCGCTGCCGGAACAAATCTTCCTAAATGTGTGCATAGAAATGATCGAAAGTGCAGACCCCGTGTCCAGTTCCATAGTTAATGGAACCCCTTGTAGCTTCACCTTAAGTGACAGCTTTTTCTTAATGGGCTTGTGTGTGCCTGTCCTGTAGATGCTTCTTCGCGAAGCACAAAACCCCACCCTATTCTGGCTGGGGACCCTGGTACCTTTCAGGCGCAATTCTTCCTGAGGTTGTACCTTCTGACGGCCCAGGCACACAGCTGCAATGTGTCCTTGTTTTCCGCACGCCCGGCAGATAGCGGAGCGGAATTTGCAGTCGGCTCTCTTGTGGCGACCTCCAAAACCGATGCACTTGGGGAGAGCTGAAGAGCTTCCTCTTGGTTTTCCTTCCTTTGTGGGGTGGAGACGGTCCACTTCCTTGTCTGGATCCTCCTCGGAGTTTCTTTGGACTTCTTCCTGGTGTACGGATGCAGCATCTGGACTGTTTCTGATCGGCCGCATGTTCTTGATGGCGCCACCCACTGCTTCTTCTGCGGTGACCTCTCTCAAGGCATCTTGGAAAGACAAGTCCTCCTTGGCGAAAAGTCTCTGTTGCAACTCTCGATTCCTTAGCCCGCACACAAATCGGTCCCTCAGTCATTCTTCGAGGTCCTTGAACTCGCAATGTTTGGCGGCTTTCCTCAGTGCGGCGATGTACTCCTTGGCTGATTCTCCGGGTCTTTGATCCCTCTGCTCGAAGGTGTGGCGCCACGCGATGACGGACATCTTAGGTTGGAAGTGCTCCTTCAGTAACTTTTTTAGATCTGCGTAGCTGACAGAATCTAAAGGAACAGGTGCTGCAAGGTTCTCAGTGATTTTGAATGCGTCTTGACCGCAAACGCACAGCAGGGTGGCAGCCTTCAAGCTCTCTTCCCTCACCTGGTTCATCTTGAGGTAGTTTTCCACCCTGGCTGCCTAGGTCTCCCACCTCTCTGGATGTGAGACGTCGAATTCCGAAAGCCTTCCAATCTTCGCCATTTCATATCAGGAAGGGTCTATCAGCCAGCCTACCCCCGAATGCATGCTGGATTGGTGGGTAGCTGCCGAGTCAACGCCGTTCCTGCCGCTCCGGACTCACTCGGGTAAGCTTACACCTTCTCTTTTCCGATGTAAGGCAATCCCACCTTCGTCGCCAGTGTTGAGTCCGTCGCGAAATGGTAAGACACGAGAAGCAGTTGTAGTTCTCAGGAAACCTTTATTCTTCAGTTCAGCTTACATTGGAATATGGTGGCAATGCCCAAAACTCTCGGCCTCCTTTTATAGGCCTTTCCCGGGTCAATCTGTTACTTTTGGTGCACCAGCACCCGCGCATGCGCACATGTACTGGCAACAGCCTGTCTGGTCCCGGGCAGCTTGCACCTGCCCGGGACCGTTCGCAATGCCCCGAGCCTGCTTGCACAGGCTCAGGACATAACAATTATTATTTTATTTACCTTTATTTTACAAACTATGCCATTTATTGGCAATGATCTCAGTGTATTTCTAATCTTTTCCTTTTCTTGCATTCTTCTCTTCTCACAGTTTGCAGCTGTGACTTTATATTCTTGTCAAATAATTCTTTTTAACAATAGGAGACACATTTTCATTGTGTTTCTGAAATGTTCCTATGCTTCTACGTTCATTTTACGACACTTTATCTCTTCTTCATTAATTCCCAAATACCACTTTTATCATTTGCTAAAAGTGAATTATTTCTAATAATTCCTGTTCCCCACTGCCTTATTGTATATTTTATTTTATTTTATTTATTATTTTGCTAAGGTAACCAATGAAAGGAAGGTATAAGTATACATGGAAGACAGACATTATCATTTTGATTGCTCTTTAAAAAAAAAGTTTAGTCCCAGGAAGAGAGAAATAAAAAGTTTTCTGAACTGTTTCTTCTCAATAATATCAAGATTGCATTTTAATCTATTTTGAATAAAACCCTTTTATATCTCAAGTGTTTGATTTATATATTTTGTCAAGTACTCGATGTGCCCAAGAAACAAACAAATGAATAATATTGAATTACAGAAAAAAGACAGGTAGTATTTATTTTATGAAAGAATTTATATAAACTAGTTATCTGATAATCTGTTGCCTAAATAGTGGGAGCATGATACTCATTCCTAGAGGAGTTTAATATGTAAGACAACAGAAGAGCTAGGCAATAAATGGCTTGTCAGGAGTACTATCAAATTACAAATCAATTTCTTATATGAAACAAATATTCTATTTATAAAGTCTGTGATTCAACTTACCACAAGTTGCTGTTTCATCTGAATGATCACCACAATCATCCTCTTGATCACACAACCATGAACGTGGAATGCAGCGTCCATTCCCACAGGAAAACTGATCTATTTGACATGGTCTTGCTTGAATGATAAATTGATATTAAAATTACAGAATGGAGATCAAATAAAATCATCTTGAGTCATTCATATTTCCTATATATATATTTGCCATGCACTGTATGTTTTGTTGCAATTTTATATGCTAGAAGCTTTTTAAATGCCACGTCAAATATATATATATATATATATATATATATATATATATATATATATATATATATACTGAATAAGAACAATTGTAATTTTTTTAGAAGATTTATTAAAATGTCAATATTAAAATATCTTATTTTTCTAATCTCTTCCTCTTCCTTTCTTCCTCTTTCTCTATGTCTCTATATGGAAAGCCAATTTGGTAGAGGGGTCACTTTCTCTCAAACCTAGGAAGGAGGCAATGGCAAACCACATTAAAAAAAAAAAAAAATCACTGCCAGGAAAAAGTGCAGGGTATTTGTCCAGGCAGCCCTGAACAATTTATGTATTTATTTATTTATGAGACTTATATACCGCTTTAAGTGCAAGCACTCTCTAAGTGGTGTACACCAGTAAGCAATGTATATATATATTTACATTGCCCCCAACAATCTGGGTCCTCATTTTACCTACCCCCGGAAGGATGGAAGGCTGAGTCAACCTTGAGCCGGTGAGATTTGAACCACTGACCTGCTGAATACAGTCAGCTAAAGTGGCCTGCAGTACTGCACTCTAACTGCTGCGCCACCTCGGCTCGGTTGACTGAACAGAAGAAAATAAAAATAGACATAAACACAAACACACATACACACAATATTATAAATATACTAAAGAAATAAAAGTGAATTAGAAACAAAGGATATAGAAACATCAGCTATACATTTTTCCTACAGAAAAAAGGAGAGATTCTTTCAGGTGATAAAAATTGGGGAGGATAGCAAGTACATTAGAACAGCTTTTTAAACCTTTTTATCCTTGAGGAACCATTTAAATAATTTTCAGGTCTCAGTTGAGAATGGCTGCCTTGCAGGTTAGCACTGAATATCAAACTGGAACAATGAGCAAAAACCATGAAAATATATTTTTAACAGGGAAAAATGCAAAGCCGTTCACTTGGGTAAGAAAACTCACAGGCATGAGTACAGGATGAAAGGAACTACACTGGACAACAATACATGTAAAAAAAATCTTATTGTCTTGGTGGAGCACGAGCTGAATTATGAGGCAACAATGCACGTAACTGCAAAAAAAAAAAAAGCAAATGCAGTTTTGTACTGAATCAACAGAAATATATTGTTAAGACTAAGACACATAATGTTCCTCTCTGTTGCTGTTGCTCATGCAATGCCTAGTATATTGCATCCACTTCTCAATATCATAATTTAGGAAGGACATTGATAAACTGGAACTAGTATAGTGGAGAGCAACCAAGAGGATAAAGAAGGGAAAGTGTATAAACAGCTTCAGATCTATGTAGCCTACAGGAAAAAAAGACTGCAGAGAGATATGATGATTGCATTCAAGAATATGAATAGCCAGAACAGAGTTGTTCCAGAATGCAAGACAAGAAACAAGGGATTTCATTTCTGATGGTAAATCATGAAGCTTTTTATAACAGTTAGAATTATTCAACAATGGAAGAATCTGCCTCAGAAGACAAAGGAATCTACTTCACTGAAAATATTTAAAGAAAGGGATATGGCTAGCTGGTGGAGCACTGGAGTAGTGGGTTGGACTAGATAATTTCCAAGATCCAACTTTACAATTTATGATTGTATGCTAATTAGAAGGAACTAAATAAACTTAATTAACAAGCCTGATTCTCTTATTTCTTAAATAAAAAACAAGAGAAAGTTTAAGATTAGATCCTAATTATTGAGTCTATTGAGCTTGGGAATCCTTATTTTTTTAACAAAAAAAATATCTTCTAATCAGCAATGAAGATGCTAAATGATGGTAAGAAAGGAATTCAGGACATAGTGAGAGTAACTGAGAGCAAATATAATAAAAATTTGAATAGAGTTCTTCATTTCCATAAGGAAATTATTTATTTGTTTATCATGTTTCATACAATGTTAGCAAAATCTATAAATGCTAGACACAAGGCAGTCCTAAATTGCTACCTCATTCAGTTTAACACTTGCACACCTGTCCTCAGTGAATCACAGGAGGAAAAATAGTTTATACCAGCTGACTAAGGGCACTCAGATTGCTGGCTCTTCTGGTTTCACTTCGCCTTGTGTTCACCTGGCCAGGTCCAATGCCGGGTTCTGCTCTCTGCACACATGAATACAGCTATTTTTTTCCCATCAAAGTGGTACCCATTTATCTATTTCAATACTGCATGCTTTCAAACTGCTGGATAAGCAGGAGCTGGGAAGCAAGAGGCGGGAGTTTACCCCATCTCGCAGAGCCAGGCTCGAAATCGCTGGAGTGCAGACCATTTCTGGGCAGCAGTTCTAAACCACAGTGCTATGGCGTCCCCTCAGAAGGACACAATGAGCAGTCCCATAACATTGGTACTAATTAGGAAGCACTCTCAGGTTTCTCTGAGCAGGGCTCAGCAAGATCTCCTGGTTTTACACAGTTTTATTTAGCCCTTAGTAAGGACTTGGCAGATGTGTCATAGTCACAGTTCAGCTAGATAAGAATCTTTATTGCAACAATTCAGTTATCCATTCCATTTTCCCTCTTTTTTAAAATAATAACAACAACAGTAATAATAATAATAATAAAATGACTTTGAATCAGTTTTGACTCCTGGAAACTACATGGATTAGTCTCTGCAGTTTTCTTGGCAAGGTTTTTCAGAAATGGTTTTGCCAATGCCTCCTACCAAGGGCTGAGAGTGACTGGCCTAAAGTCACTCAGCTAGCTGGATTCCTAAGGAAGGACTAGAACTCACATTCTTCCAGTTTCTAGCCTGACACCTTAACCAAACTGGCTTTCTCTTAAAATTACATTTTGTTAAATCCATAGCTTTTTCTTCCCATCCTTCCCATGAAGCCAACCAGTTATTGAATGTTTCCATAACGATCATCTCTAGTCTGTGCATGTTATTCTGCACAGCTGCCAAGATTGAAATGTCTTATACAGAGAGAATATGGCTAATAATTATTAGGTCTTTTCAATACCAAAATTTTACATGGCAATTAATCTATGGCCTGACTTACAGCAGTATCTCTCAACATACCTGCTAATACCCAGAAGGGAGTGAGGTGGGGAGAGAAACATATGAGTTAGTCCATATGGACAGTTGAAATTACTTAGTAAAGTAAGCCAATTAACAAGATTAAGTAAAACATCACCTAATTAGAAACAAGTTCATTTTATTTAAAATTGATGGCAACCAGTAATGGCTTGGCTTCCTTCAGACCAAAATTTTAGATCCGAACATACTCAACAGAGGTTTAAGATCAAACATAATCACAAGGAAATGTGCTTGATTTGTTTTATTGTTTCCTTTTACCTGCACAAGTTTCATTTGATTCATCTTCATTGTTACCACAATCATTTGCTCCATCACAAAGCCATTTCTTAGGGATGCATCGGTTATTACGGCATTTAAATTGATTGTCAGGACAACTATGATTAACTGGAAGACATAATAATACCTTTTATATCCAGTAACAACCATTACATTCCACTGTAAATATGCTTTATAATAAATTGCATACACTGAAAAAAGAAACAACAAATGTTTAGCATTTTCATTTTTTTCTTAATCTTACATAAAACTATGAAACTAGGAGTAAAAAAAAATCCCTTATTCATAAAAGTAATCAATAAAATCACATAATATTCCAAAACTACTCTGACAAAATATTAGGCATCACAATCAACATTTAACTGCAACGTTGAAAGAGTTGAGAAAGAAGATTGAATATTTGTATTAAAGTGTTTGCTCTGAAAATGTGTGCCGACCTTCTGGAAAAAAATGATATAGGTTTTATACATTGCACTATAGAACTGCACTATCTCTTCTCATTATACATTTTTTTTTAGAAGTTGGAAAAAATTTAAAACTTCATGGAAACAAAGATGCTGCAGACTGTTGCCATCATGTGTTATATAAGTAATTGCCATTTCTGAAATCTCTGAAAAACACTATATTATTGTTTGTATTGTGGTTTCCTTTGGCTTACTTTTACATGTTATAAAGCTGTAAAAAAATATCCTTTTCCAAACCTATGTCTGTTTTTCAGAATCCTTAAAATATTACCAAGAAGCATTGAAACATTAAGCAATTTTCCATAAGTAATTCTTTCTTCAAAATATTGAAATTGATTATCTTCATTGGTAAGCAGAGTTTGTATCTGGCCCAACAACAAAACAAGGTCAGGGGGCCTTAGATCAAAGCAAACACATTAGATTTTTAAATCATTTAAATCATTATTCATTTTCTGAAGCCATGCTCTACTGGTAGAATATAATGCTAATGCATGTCTATGTAGCCCAATAATTACATGATTTATTTTCATGTTTATTTTATTTTCATTCCCTTTAGATGTTTACATTTTTTGAATACATTATATCTAAACTCTCATAACAACAGCTTAAACAAATAGAAACTATATACCATATTATTCAGATACATACAACAAATCTCTGAATGCTCATCAGAGCCATCCAGGCAATCATCATCACCATCACATTGCCAGCCATCTTGGATGCAGCGCTTGTTCCTGCACTGAAATTCACCCACTTTGCATAACTTAGGTAATACTTCTTCAGAATTAACTAAAGGGACAAAGATACAAATAAGTAACATTATTGTTGGCGCTGATGATGGTCACCAGGAGATTTTTTTTAGACAGTTAGCAACCATATAGGTTGGATCAATCAATCTACTATTCAAGAACTTGGGAAATATTAATATTATAATTACTTGTGCACTGAAGAATGATATATATATTCCTCAAATCAAAAATAAATATTTTGACTAAATCATGTATCTGTTGTTTCATCTTCAATTTAGTTTGATTTTAAAGTAGCTTATGGAGAAACATCTTTAAATTTGTTTCATGTTAGCAAACAAATCTGTATTTGCATTACTAAAATATTAAAGGGAATACTTTTTCCTTTAAATATGTTACCATTTGAGTTATTTTACATACATTACAAAATTTCATGGTCTTAGATACATACTGATTCATCCAATAATTAACACATATGATAAAAGTAAAGATGCTTTCAAGTTGAGCTCTTCTGGTAAGTACACAGAAACATCGCTGAAGTTTTGTGGGCAATAACATAACCTTGGTTTATCATTACTTTTTACTGGGATTTTTGGAAATATTTATGGCAGTATGTTATGATATCCCAGATTCTTGGGAAGAATGTGATGCATATGAAGGCCAACACCAGCTAAAGAACTGTCAGCTGTGACTTCACATAGTCATGTATAAAATAATGATTTGTTAGTATTGGAAGGGACAACTAGGTCCATTTGTGTTTAACTGTATAGATCAGTTGAACATAAAACCAAATAGGCTAAAATTGTAGGTATGTTTATTATTTATTTTACATATGCACAAATTTCATGGAACTTTTAGGATATTGGGAAGATTGTATCATAAATAAACTCCCTTTTTACACCCCTATAACCCCTTAAATTGAGATAGAATCAATGAGACTGGATGGAGCTGAGTGTTTACTAGCCAGATGCCCATAAGATTGTATCCAAAATGAAGGGGAAAAACACTTCAACTATCTATTTAAAAATATATCGGAAGGAAATCCTTAAGAAACTTTTTAAAATGATATCTAAAAGCTACTTTTGGATCTCATTGAGTCCAGCTAATGATGGCTGAAAAACTTCTCACACAAAAAAGAGTTAACAAGAATCAATGAAATAATGAGAATGTGTCAACATTTAGACATTATTATCTTCTTTTGTTCACAGCATACTTACAAGCCAAGAGAGAAACTGTCTCAATAAGGCCATACTATTGTGTAAAAAATAAGGAAAGAGGAAAGGGAAAGGTTCCTACAGTTTGGAAGTGGCTTGCTATTGCTTCCTTCCTAGGGCTGAAGGAGATTAACTTGCCCAAAATGACTTTGAGTTTGAGGTAGGAGTAAGAACTCACTATATTCCACTTTCTAGCCTGATTCCTTCACAATTAATCTTGTTTAAGTAAGTCCAGTAAAGTAGAGTAGAGTAGAGTAGAGTAGAGTAGAGTACAATGAAAACAATGCTGCTTTTCACTTTTTTAGGTCAAATAATCTAATTTAAATTGGGGCAATTTAATCTTCATTTCATATTACAGTATGTATCTAGAAGGTGGGGTTCATCCATCACAGTTTTATTGCTTCTGTTGTGTCTTTCTGTATTTGCCCTGAAGTATGAGGACTTTGGGGACTTTCCCAGATTAAGTGCTATTACTTAATGGGAAGGTAGAGGCAGTGTCCAGGATGTCTTTGCACAACTGGTGACCCAGTTGCATCTCTACCTCAATCCATTTTTCCTGGAGGTGAGAAGGATTGTGGGTAATGTTATAAGAAGAGTAAGAAAGCTTTTTCAGCCTTCCACTATTCTTTTTTAAAAGATTCTTTGTAAAAAAAAAAAGTTTTATACACTTGTGAGCTTCTCATCAATAAGTAACTAAGCAATTGTCATTCTGAATTTCTATTAAATTTCTCAGAAGGATTTCCCTTAAATCCTGTAAATTCCTGAGAGAATGAAAGCCACCTAATACAAAATGCTGGGCTTTTTATCTGCTTGATATGTGTGAATCATGCCCTTTTTATACTTTATATTTATTACTCCGACTATCTTCCCTACAGGAGAAATATAAAATTTTCTCATGAAGATCATACACATGCAGGTTGTACTGTTTTCCTCCAAATGTTGATTATCGGCACAAGCGCACATTCTGCCTCCAGGTATCGCTAAACACAGGGTACTGCAGCCTCCATTATTAACACGGCATGCGTTGTCACCTGGAATTAGAAAAGAAAAAAATCAACCTTAAATAAAAATATCTCAAGCAACATGATGAAAAGGAGGATACAAAAACATCAGAGACATACTGTTTGGATCAATGCACTTTCCTACAGTCTTATCTTTTACACTTGTAATCCACAGAAAAACACTCTATGAATGAAAACTAATTATTTTATTTGCACCCCAACCTTCTTCTTTGTCCATTATCAGAAAGAATATCGCATTTTATATAAAATAGACATACAAATCTAAGTAAATTTTGTTATTAGGACCAACAGGACAGCTCAAGAGAGTTGGTTTATACTTCATGGAGATTTCAATGGAATCACTAAAAGAATGATCAAGCAAGAATATCAAATTCTCAGGCTCTCAATACACCCCCCCCGTCTGCCTGCTGAGACATTTCCAAAGATGAATTGATGCAAGGTCACCATCATATAGCATGCATGCATGCATGCATAAATAAATAAATAAATAAATGTGTCAAGGAAATTGGAATACACTGCTGATTCATTTACATTTGTGGTTCATTTTATCATTTTAAGTATGAAAGAATATTTGAAAAATGAATGGGGAAGAATTGACTTCTTAAATAGGTAGTGAAACATGAACAATGCAATGTATTATTGCCTGCCTTTGTTGAGAGTACACAGAATGTACACAGAAATGCCATGAACACCTCTCTCTCTCTCTCTCTCTCTCTCTCTCTCTCTCTATATATATATATATATATATATATATATATATATATATATATATATATATATGTCTTTGGTTGTTCGGGTTTTCTCCCGCGTAAAATTGGAAGTTATATATATATAACACATATATATATATATGTTCAATGATGCAATCTTCGATCTCCGGGAAGAGTATACTCCAGTTATTTATTGTTAAAACCACATTTAAAACAATAAAAACAGTTATATACAAAAATTAAAACAACTTAGCTTTCGCTGGTCCTCTGCTAGCGTCCTCAGAGTGGGGCTTAGGGGGTGGGAAGTTCTTTTTATCCCCTTGCTGATCCAATTGTCTACTCATTGCCCTCGTGACAGGGCCACTCTTCCTGATTGCTCGAGGCATATAGGTCTTTGGTTGTTCGGGTTTTCTCCCGCGTAAAAACCCGAACAACCAAAGACCTACATACAAACACCCGCGAAAACCTCAGAAAACAAATATATATATATATATATATATATATATATATATATATATATATATATATATAAAACCTAAGATATACAGATGATACCACTCTAATGGCAGAAAGTGAAGAGGAACTAAAGAGCCTCTTGATGCAGGTGAAGAAGGAGAGTGCAAAAGTTGGCTTGAAACTCAACATTAAGAAAACCAAAATCATGGCATCTGGCCCTCTCAATTCCTGGCAAATAGATGGGGAAGAAATGGAGGTAGTGACAGATTTTATTTTTCTTGGCTCCAAGATCACCTCAGATGGGGACTGCAGCCAAGAAATTAAAAGACACTTGCTCCTGGGGAAGAAAGCTATGGCAAATCTAGACAGCATACTAAAAAGCAGAGACATCACCCTGCCAACAAAAGTGTGTATAGTCCAGGCCATGGTTTTCCCAGTTGCAATGTATGGCTGTGAAAGTTGGACCATAAGAAAGGCTGAGCGCCAAAGAATTGAGGCTTTGAACTGTGGTGCTGGAGAAGACTCCTGCGAGTCCCTTGGACTGCAAGGCGTTCAAACCGGTCAGTCCTAGAAGAGATCAACCTCGACTGCTCTTTAGAAGGCCAGATCCTGAAGTTGAAACTCAAATACTTTGGCCACCTAATGAGAAGGAAGGACTCACTGGAGAAGGCCTAATGCTGGGAAAGATTGAGGGCAATAGAAGAAGGGGACGACAGAGAATGAGATGGCTGGATGGAGTCACTGAAGTAGTAGGTGTGAACTTAAATGGACTCCAGAAAATGGTAGAGGACAGGAAGACCTGGAGGAACGTTGTCCATGGGGTCGCGATGGGTCGGACACGACTTCGCAATTAACAACAACAAATATATATATATAGTATGTATGTATGTATGTATGTATGTATGTATGTATGTATGTATGTGTATACACACACACACACACACACACACACACTATATGTTGGTAGTGTTTTCACTAAATTCTACCTGAATCTATTTTGGAGATTAAGATTGATGTTTCCATTCTGTTCTTAGAACATCTAAGGAACTGTGAAGAACAATCTTTCATACATCTAAGTCACAACATTCAGGCCAAATCCAATAATATTTTTCTTTTTTGTCCCCCGAGGAAGAACATTTCAAGAGCACCAGTGAAAGCTCAGAAGCATGCCTAGTATTTGTTCGACAGAATAGCTAAGCCTGACTGAAAGTCTTTCTCATTGTTTTGGAACTTGCCCAATTAATTCTGCAAACTAAATGTTAGGGAGATATTTACAAGCTCCATAATACTATTTAGCTTAACTATTTAGCTATTCAGCACTGTGTCAATAAGGCTTAATTTAGATTGTTCCATTCACCATTGACTGTTAGTGTGAAGCACAACTGCTAGATATATCCATATTGATTCAACTTTATTACTTAGCCTTAGAATCAATATGACTATCAGAAGCTTCATAATAGTTTTTAGGCAACACTGATTACATTTTCATATTTATTTATGTATCACTACTAATTCCCATTCCAGAGACATAAATACGTGTACGTATACTTGCTTATATTCATCCCTTGTTAATTTTGCCTTACCTTTGTATCTATCTTTCTGCAATCCTAATAATATCTGCCATGTTCTATCTAAACTTAAATTCTATGTTCAGTGAATGAGGGACCTGTATCTTATTCATTATTTATAAAACCAACAATACTGTTGGGTTTGGATTGGTTTGTTTTGACTCTTAGAAAGATGCCCTCCAATCTTTTAGTGCTATGCTTGGCTGTAGACCTTCTCTCTCAAACACATTCACATACAAAAAAATAAGCTTCCTGGGGATTGCAGGAAAAGATGGAAATAAATGAAGTCAATCATCCTGCTAATTGGGGACCAAAGGTATTATGTAAAAATACTTCACGACTGCAACCAACTAAATTCCAGTCTGTTTTTAAAACAATTGCAGATAGTCAATGAACTCTCCAGATCTTACAGTCTACCCAGACCTTTGTTCAATTATTCATATCATTCAGACTACTGATGCTCTATTATTTAGAAAAGCTTTGTATACAATAGATCTGGGAATGTACTGTATATTTATAGTATTAATAATTGTATGTAATTGAGACAATTTTTGTAAGGAAGAGAAGTAGTGTTTCATATAAAATTCTCAGTATCGGAAAAACATGTATTGCAGTTGAACCTTATGAAAACAGAGGTTAATTTACTATCTCATAATTTTAGTTTTTTTTTCCACTAGGAAATGACATGATATTAACAGAAATAGTAGTACATAATTTCTACTCCTTAACACCAAACATTATTCATTACATTTTATATGTTGGTTTAATGCATCTTGATTGCTAAAACTTGGAATCATTATATTAGGGATCATAGAAATGCAATGTTTATTACTGCTGCCATATTGCTTCCTACTAAGACACAATTTTAGTTATACACTGAAAAACATCTTTTTGTAATGGCTTAACATATTTAAAATTGTTTCTTTGCTTCTCATGGTGGACCCTTCAACATAGGAATGTTAACAAGAATAATGACATTTGAGATCTGCATTTATTTATCTATATTTCATATTTCTAAGCCGCCCAAGTCCAATGACTTTGGGAGCCTAAAGGTATAAAAAACAGTTTTAAAAAATCGACACAATTCTTAAAAGATACACAACAGTAACTTAGAGGGGGAACAACACCACCTCATTATTCTAGATAGACAACAAAAGCTCCATCCTCCAATTCCCTAATTCATGTCCTGGCAGAAGGATAAAGGAGAGGTTTATTATTGCTTATTTAGAGTTTATTTAAAAAAAATAAATGTTCAAGACTAATAATAATAAAATCTAAAATGGGAAGGAAAACATGTATTTTAATAAGGAGAGTACTTAAAGTAGCAGGTTATGTAACCTGCTGCTCAAGATGAAGTCATGCTAATCAATTTCTTTGTTAATCTCAGGTGACAAAACAAGGGCATTCATGCTCTTTATTACTACATCTGCTACTTAGTTCAGATTGCATTTCTTGTGACTGTTTAGGGCAGAACATGTTACATACATTTTAAATCCAAATCAATACTCAGATTCTTCAACCATATAACTACTACAAGTCTTGAAGGATATGTACATGTAGTGATCATTGATTAAAGTATAAATAGATTTTTACAAGCAGTTTTTTAAAATAACATAGAACTATAATCTCCCATTAAGTCCCATAATGATGCTTTGAGATTGAGTGGACATTATACAAAATTATCTGAACTGTGAGGTCTTAAAAACTCTTTAGATGGTACAGAACAGACAACTCAGTATTTTAAGTCTTTGACTCATTCTCAATATATACTTTATATTAATATTTTATATATCGATGAATAATGTATTAACGAATCAGAGAAAATACAAAAACATAAAGCCAATGCTGTTTTTTTATTTGTTTTTTTAAAAAATGCATTTTTAAATGGTGGGCTGTAGCTAAAGTGACATCTGTAATTATCATATGTGTATCCAGCCCAATAAATATAAAATCAAATAACAATCAGATCTAAAAAGCAACAGATAAGTTTGAAGACTAAGTGCAGCGAAGCACTATTTTTTTCGGTATGTGAAAATTATCTAAACTAACAACACTCTAATATTCTGACAGCAAGAGATTAAAGAAAGTGTCATACTTTTCTGGAAAGGACATTCCGCTGAATAAGCCTCACTACCAATACTCCAGCAGATAATATTCAATCTATAATTCCCATTCCAGACTGACTCAGTTCTAATAAAGGAGAATATTTGTAGTTCAGAGTTGAACTGTGGGGTCCTTGGTGCTCTCTGAGCTTGTTTTCTTGCAAATGTTTCATTACTGCGCTGATGATATTACCTATTTTAGAGAATGAAACATCTACAAGAAAACAGCTAAGCTCAGACAGCACCAAGGATCGCTGACCCAATTCTATACCTCAGGCCATTTTTAGGATTTTCTTCAGTCTTGCCATCATTTGTTTTTGTAACTTTTCTTTTGTAAATTTTCTGTTAGCTACTGAAGATTTTTAGAAAACTCAAACGTTTTCATGCTCTTTATTGAGAAAAATATTGAGATTTATTTATTGTTTGATTTATATCTTGACTTCCTGCTCTGGGAAATAAAACAGCTAGCATGTTGATCTTCAGCAAACAGTCGGTATCTTATTTTATAATAATAATAAATAACAATCGTAAATAATGGTCAAATTCTGTAAAATTAGTTTTATGAAATTTCTATTGAAAACAATGTAATACATGATGTTGAGGATTAACTCAAAAGTTCACCCATGCAGAGCACCTAGACGTAATTTTCAAAGCAATAGAAGCAGCAGCAAAAGATGTGTAAGATATACCTATTTTAGGATTTTAAGAAATGCTTTGTATGCATTACTGCATCAAAGGATCCACCAAATCTTTTTAAAAATTAACCCATGTTTATTTCAGTGATGACAAGTGGTAATTACTGTTCACTAAATATACCCTACACATCTGCACTGACTTAGTACTTAGAATTAATTTCACATCTAATGGATTAGTGTGTTCACAGCAGATTGATGAGAAAGTCTGAAGCAATAGTGAACATTTACTCTTCTATAACTACAATTATTTAAGTGCTGCATGGGGTGAATGCAGAAAATGTTATTTTCAATACCTTGTTGCTTCTGGAGATCATAAATTTGCAACCCAAAAAGAGGGGATCTCTCACTTTTCAGAAGTGTCACATTTCTAGACATCAAATCCAGTTGGAAAATAGAGCCATTCATATAATCTGTCCAGAAAATATAATTTCTATGATGTGATAGTCCAAATGGATGATTCAATTCTTTTCCACTGTAGACCACCTGCAATTGATTGACATTAAATTGTTTCAGCATTCAGTATATCACTACATGGCTTAACATTTAATCAGAAATTAAGAAAAAAATGTGAATGTTTGATTTTTATATTTATATTTATATTTTTTATATTTAAGAATAGAGAGATTATAATATTTAATATTTGAGAGGAATGTATCAGCCTTAGAGATAGATCCATTACATTCTTTTCTAGCAGGATGAAATGGAGAAATATTTTCCCTTCCTCCCCAACCTTTAAAAATCCGACAAATAAAATTAGGAAATAGGTTTATTATCTGAAGATATATTCAATTGGTGCTTTGGAGACTGGAGTAGATTTTTTTCTGTAAAGAAAACTTTAAATATAAAAATCATATGCCAGCAACGGTCAGCACAAACAAGCAAAACTCCATCTGCGGGTTGCAGGCATCACACAAAACCACGCCCTCTCCGGTCCATAGAAAACTCTCTCCACAGAAGTGGTCCCTGGTGCCTAAAAGGTTGGTGACCTCTGTTATAGTACATGTAACTTTGTGCATACATGTCAACCCTACTGAATAAACCAGACCAGGAGTCAGCATCTGAATCAAAAACTGAAACTATTTTTACTGAGAACGATTATAATAGCAGAATTTTGCAAGGTTGATTGTGCTGCACCTCTTCTTATATCCAAGTGGATTAGGAAGGTCTTTATATAAATTTCTTCCACACAGTGTCTTCTTCTTATGGGCCTAGGTTGTTGTTATTTTTTTTTCATCAGCACTTTAGTAAAGTCTTTTTCAGGACCCTCTTCCTTATACTCTACTGAATGAATATATATATTCATGTGAGAAATATTTAATGAAATTTCTAAAAACGCTGATATATGATATCATGTACTACTATGGCCAAATATATTAAGATAATTAGTAAGGGCTCGTATTAGATTTAAATGTTTTTTTGTGGTTTGATCTCATGTACAGTAGAATAAGGATTAGAAAACATTTCTACCTTCTGAAATAAATAAATAGTTCTTTCCTTCCTTCCTTCCTTCCTCCCTCCCTCCTTCTCCCTTTCCTTTCCTTTCCTTTCCCCCCAAAATAACCCAATAATTCTTAGACTAGGTACTTCCATAAGATAATCAATAGTCAGCCTTAAAAAGAAAATAAACAAATTGGCAAGATAATTCACTAAACAGGGAATCTGTGGGCAAAAAGTATTATATTTTCTTTTACCTTGCGGTCACTTCCATTCAGAAATATTCTTTCAATATGATCATAATAGGCATCACACCAGTACAATATATTATTTTGGTAATCCAGAGTTAATCCATTTGGCCACAACATCTTTAATGTCACAAATATTTGACGGTTGTTACCATCCATCCATGCTTTCTCAATTCTTCCCATACTATCATCTATTTCATCTTCTTCCCAATCTGTCCAATACATCCAGCTGTGAAATGATAAATAAAAAACATTAATTGAACCATTTAACTTTAGTTGTAGAATTTTAATCATAAACAACCTGAAATTCTTTCATATTTTTTAAGGTTTCTGTTTTTTCTCTTCTGAGAATAAAGTAATAATAATAGTAATTATTACTTAGTAATAATAGTAATAATATACTAGTAGACTATCAGAGCGATATCTAAAGTACTTCCTCAATATTTGGAAATATTGAATTTATTAGACCTGAACACCCTCATTTTACAAAAAGCCCACCCTGCTTGGAACTGCCCATATTCTTCAACTCTACTTTAATAATTTTTAGGTCCTTACTGGGACCTAAAATTAAGTTTCTACCACTCTTAGATTGTGAATTTAACTGTAGAGTACCCACACATAATATTATTATCCCAAATCCCCAACATCTAGAGCAGCACTTGAACAGCATTGACAAAATTACCATCAATCAAATATAAAAGGCAGTTTTACTTGGAACATCCTTTGATGGTACCTTTACACCAACAAACAATAATATCTGCCTATCTCAAGTCCTTGGGAAGCATCGGATAGGTGATAAAAACATCAAATCCAGTCTACAAAGCTTCGTAAATGTGAAACTTCACCTTTCACTAAGTTGATATTCACACACACACACACACACACACACACACACAAAATCACGTCAATTTTAACATTTTTCTTGGTAATCTAATCATGGTGTCATTTCTAACACACTGGAAATATGACTCAGACCTATCAAAAAATTAAAATTAAATGCCATATCCCCACTAACAGGGCAAGCTACTGTATATAAACAAGGGCCAAACCGCACACACTCAGTAACAGATGACGTTACTTAGTCAGATAATGAAATATCTGCAAGCAAACAACTAAGCTCGGAAACCACCAAGGTCTCCAAAAATTAAATTAGATTGGACATACACTTATAAATTCTTGTAACATCACTTTGTAAGTATGAATAATAATGCAATAGTAAAATATTTTTAAGAGGTACCATGGCTCTACCTATTGGAAATATTGCCTGGCAGATAATCCTTTATTTATTAGATGTTGCACTGAGCCTTTTACAAATTACAATTTCAGATACAGTCAAGGCTCATTTAAGATTGCCTTTAATGAAATTTATATGTCAGCTGTCTAGAACTGAAGTAAATAACCTAATCAATATAGTCTTTACTCTCTCCAAAAGTACAATGAATCAATAGACCTTGAAAACATTTATTTGACTTGTTAAAAGGATATTACTTAAAACATTGTCCTAAGCGTTTTGCAGTTTACATCTGTCACATCCCAAATCAGGCTCAAATTATGTGGTAATGATTTAGCACAAGAAATTAATTAAAATATAAGCAAAATTCCAATAATTTTCATTTGCAGTATGGAATGATAATTTAGCAGTTACACTTCCTACTGTAAAATAATACAGATGATTCTATAATATGAGTATATTTATAGCCATCTAGTCATATAAAAAGGGCTTCTAGTTTGCTAGACCTGTTTTGGTAAAATCTAACAGAAATACAATAATGATGGTACAAAACAGTGGAGCAATATGCTTCTATATACCTAGATTTAGTAATAACTTGAAAACTGAGCTAGTTTTACATTTAAGGTATTTGAATCGTTTTTCTTTTTAAATTTGATTTTAATCACCATTATCTGTAACTTTTACACCATAGTGGTTATATTTCAGAGTTGGACATGAGACAAATGCCAAACATAATTTGGTTTTAAGATTGAACTTATAGAAGTAATATAAGTATTTTAAATAAAAATAAATAAATGGAGGATTTAATTAAAAAAAAGGAAAAACAGTGGTGGGTAGCAGAAATAGCAAATGAATTAGGATTCCTAAAATGGAAATTAGAGACCCAGTTTGGTCTAATGATTAAAGCACCAGGCTAGAAATGAGGAGACTATGAGTTCAAGTCCCCCCTTAGCCAGGAAAGCCAGCTGGGTATCTTTGGCCAATTACTCTTTCTCAGCACAACTCACCTCACAGGGTTGTTAATATGGAGAAAATAGGAGAAGGAAGGTGTGCTGGATATGTTCATTTTCTTGAGTTATTTGTCAAAATAATAAAAGTAGGATACAAATAAATAAGGCAAAGGTCTAGAAACCAGGATACCATGAGTTCCAATACTGCCTTGGACACAAGCACAGCTGGGTGACTTTGGATCAGTCACACTTTCTCATGGCAAACCACTTTTGACAATATTGCCAGAAAATTGCAGGGACTTTTTCAGACAGTCACCATGAGTAAGCACTTATTTAAAGATCCTAAAAAAATAATAATCAAACAAACTCCATCTGAATTTGGTCCTTTCCCAAGCTTTGAAAGTAAATTGGAGTATATAGATAGGTAGGTAGGTAGATTGGTTGGTAGGTAGGTAGGTAGATGATAGATATATAGATAGACAGACAGACAGACAGACAGATAGATAGAATTTAGTTGCTTGCTCTCAAAGTGTATACATACATAACACACATTTAAACATACTATATACAACATATTTATAGACCTCCACCCTGACATATAAATAACATATAAATATTAATCATTGTCTAATATCTAACAACAGTACCGGAGAGCTCATGCCTGGAAGAGAACATGTTTGGTTCAGATACTGTCAGAATTCATGCACGTTGCACGTAAGGTATTTTAGGGTGGGAGATAGTAAAAACAAAAATACAAGCCATTGATAGCAGTTTGGGATGGAGATAGCTGCCAAGCAAAGGTAAAAGAATGAGAGACAATGAGGAAGTGGGTTACAGTTCTTTGGTTGCATGTGAAACTCTTGAATTCAAAAGATGGAGCAAAAGATGGATGGATGTTGCATAGATCATGCATAGGAGGAGGGTCCTAAAACAATAGTCATGTACTACTGATCCGTAGGAAGCGCTGCCTGGATTTTTCAGCAGCAAAACCCAGTTTTGAATGTTTAGGAGATGACCAGGCAGAGCTCGGGGGGGGGGTGGGGTGTCAAACACATCATCAGTTTGGAATCCCCCTGAAAGAAACCTAAGTCCAGCCTCCCCTTGAAGTCCATTGACTCTCCTCTGGAGCCAATTTGCCTTGACTGTTACTAGATCAGATTCTTGTTTAGAGGTAGCATGAAAAAAAACTTGTTGTGCTTTTGAATTCAATCTGGGCTCCTAGTTTCCTGCATCTGACATAATGTTTAGTATTGCTTCCATGTTTCACTCAGCTTTTCCAAACAAATAGGTTTTTTTGGGGGGGAGGGCTGTCTGTCTGTGTGTGCATATATGTAAATGCTAATTATTGATGTTATGGAAAGTGATATATTTTATTGCAATTTGATTTTGTCAAACTTTCAATATGTTGGTTTTGGCTGTACTGCACAAATGTTAAACTAGACACTGAAACTTCTGAAAGCAGAGGGAAAGCTAGTGTTGTAAAATGCATTTATTATGACATGTCATATTTTAATCTTGACATTATTATTCTGAGTCAATGTTCTGCCATATCCCAAGCTGACTTTTATTCCAACCAAAGCAGAGCAAACAACACTCTAATTAGCAAAATACCCTAACTGTGTAAGAAATCTACCATTTCTTGGTTTTTAAAACTATAATTACACAATTTTGCACAGGGAAAATAATTATTTGCATGTAGTTATACTAATTGGTTTACTTGATTTCCCCAAGGAAGATTTTCTTTTCCTAACTTTACCTTGAGAAAATTTATTACAGATTGTTGTAGTATTTTGCTACTCCAAAGCCTCTTGTCCTATCAAGGTAGGGAGAGGAATAGTCAGAAAGCACAGCTGCTTGGGGTTTTTTTTTTTTTTGCATTTAATTGTTTGTAATATGATAGAGTTATTAATATGAGTTAGTATTATATTCAGTTAATTGCTTTAATTGAGTGGTACAAGAAAATAAAATTATTAAGGAAATGGGACTTGAACTCTGAGGTGGGCAGCATATTAACTTTTAAAGGAGGGTGATAGTGGAGTTGATTTTAAAAAGTATACTATGATTTGATTTAGCCTTCCTGTTGTAACTTGAGGAGTACTTGTACCATAAGTTGGCCTCTCCTAAACCTTTCTCCTAAAAAATACATGGAAATTGAAGTTAAAATGATTTCTTACAAATTATTTTGAGACAATTTTTTATTTTATTTACTTATTAAATTTAATATGCTGCCCACTTCAGAGTTCAAGGCAACTCTGTGCAGCTTTTTGCTTTGCTATTAATTAGAAGCAAGATTTTTGTGGCCAAATATATAACTTAAATGGCTCTTCATAAGGCAACAATTTCAATATACCTGAAATGACTTAACTAACAAAATGCATCCAAAATCTAAGCCCATGACTCCTGTAGGATTGATATTTGACAAAGTTGCTTCAGTACTGCCATGTTACCATAGTTAGCGTGGACACATGATCATCACTTCAATGCTTTCTGACTTCCTGCAAAGAAAGTCAATGGGGAATCAAGCAGGAAGGCGGATGTCGTTCCTGCTGCCATTGCTTTTTTGTATGTCTGCGGTCATTCTGTTTCTGTTTAGGTATAGAAATATCTATGAAATGATGACACAATGGGTCAGGGGTTGTCCAGTTATAACTACAAATGTAATTCTATTTCATTTCATTACATACACACATACATACACACACACAAAAACCTGGTGACTGTGTAGACAAATGACAAATATTAATGATCTTGGCCAACATTTTGTAAATAACTTGTGAATCTTCCTAGTGCATTTTCAAACAGATAAAATGTTATTTAAGATAGAAAGTTTTCATACCCGTTAACAGGATCCACCACAATTCCTCGAGGGTGAGACATGCCACCTTCCAGAAGAGTTTTGCGGTTCTGAGAAGCTTTCTCTAGTCTGGCAACATTAATTGTTTTCCTGTAACCATCATTTGTCCAAAACAAATTATTTCCAATCCAGTCTATTGCAATGCCTTCTACATTATCAAGATCTGTGTAAACAAAAATGATATATATATAATTTTGTGTGCATGAATGGGCAAGTGAATGTATAGAATATTAGGTTCTTCTACACAAAATGGTAAGCAGATTTTTTTTTTTTTTTTTTTTTTGGTAGAACAAACAGAAATCCAGTATAGCAGATTGCAGGACATTGCAGGATTTAGCTATGTAAATTCATTTAGTGGTTTTGCTTTCCTTTTCTGGAAAAAAAATCATTCTGAGTTCTTTGTAAAATAAGTGAATATGTATGCAAACATACATACATACATACATACATACATACATACAAATAAATAAATAAATAAAGCTAATACCTAAATAAAAAGATAACGCTAATACTTTCTTTATAAAAGCCTAAGCAAACAGTGGCCATAATCATTAATCTGACTATAATAATAATATTCATGATACTGAATATTTAAAGTTATCAGTTATAAGGTACACATAGTTTGAACTTATTGTATGCAGTCTGAATCAAGGGGCAAACCTTGGAAGCAAGAAATATATGAAAGGGGCTAATGATTTAGCAACAGCAATGCTGAATCTAAAACAATTCCTTACAATGGAATCAAGTTGCACTGCTGACAATTTTCTGGAATGGTGTGGATTGCAGTGCAGTAAACTACCTTGTGGTATATTTTTTTCAACATTTATTTAATTTCTATCCAGTCTTTTCTTTCAGGCGCTTAAGGCAGCATTAAGAATGATTCAGATACCTTTCTGGTATAGATTATTTAAAGGCAATGGAGAATCATAATTATCTCTTAGTTTATCATGATAAAAAATATCCTGGCAATAAAATAATAACAATGCCAGAACATATGTATTATAAATGAATGAAAGCTTATGTTAAGTATTCGATGTGTTAGTGCAAAGAATTACATTGATTGTATCTGTTGGGGAATAAACCTTTGTTTAGCTTACCTGAAAAATAACTATTTTGCATATATGTGTATGAGTATCTGTGTGTGTGTATGTATGTGTTTTGTGTGTGTGTGTGTGTGTGTGTGTGTGTATGTGTATGTATATGTATATATATATATATATATATATATATATATATATATGTATATGTATATATACACATACAAACTTACATACACACACACACACACACACATACACACGCTAGTATTTTTAGTATTAAAAAAAACTAAGCAAGACAGGAAACACATTAACAGGAAACACATTTAACTAGACCATTAAAACAACAGCTTTTTAGAATATATAACAGTTCATCAAGCATTTCCAATAAAAAGCTTATATTTTCATTTGTTTCTATATTTTGTATGAAGTAGAATGAAAGGTGACATTTTCTAGAGTAATTAAACATATTAGGTACAGCAATAAATATATAATGAAAACCAACCCATTTTCCAACGTTAACTTGTTGTTTTGCTTTTGAACTTTCAAAGAAAAAGGTAATATAGAGTATGCAATGCTGTGCTAAAACCAAATTACATACTGAAACTTCATATTCCTCAATCAATGCACATAATTGCTTTTCTAGTATTCTATCATAGCCAGGGAAACACTCCTATAGGTTTTAAAGAAGGAAAGAAGTTATGTATTGTAACATTACAGTTAAAAACTAAGAAAATATCTTAGTTCTACTTAGTAAGAGAATATAAATCTTTAAGAAGAACTGCAGAAAGAAGAGGAATGCTTATTCTCTATATGAAATCACAATGAATATTAAGGAATATAGAAGAAAATCTCTCTTGACAAAGTTGTTGATTGTGAACTGGGACTGCAAAGTTCCCCAAAATTTTATTTCTGTATTTTACAGGGGAAGGGTGGAAACTATACAGACACAAAAATGCACAGCTATTCTTGTCCCTGGGTATTTGATAATGTATTCACAAATGATTATCACAGCCAATTACTAGGTCACAAAGAGTTTATAATGACTTACAATTTAGTTTGCAATAAAAGAAACTAAGAAATAAAAGGAAGCTTAAACAAAGCAAAAGTAAAATAGATAGAACAATAAAACAACCAAGAAACAAAAAAAATATATAAATATAATTAGTAAAAAAAGATGGGCAAGTGGGGAACAGAGACCGGGGTTATCAATCTAGCAGCCACCTCCAGTGTGGAACTCCCCCATCGGCTCCATAGGCCAGTTTGCCAAGCCAGGTCTTTAGGCTCTTATGGAATGATAGGAGATTGGGGGCAGATCTTATCCTGGAGGGCAGGATGTTTCAAAGGGGGGAGAGGTGCTGCAGCAGAGAAGAGACTTCTGGATCTTGACAGCTCTTTGACTGACAGGACTGCAGTACATCCTCTCTGCCAGACTGGGTAGGATGGGCTAGATTTAGCAGGGCAATTGGTTTATCAGGTAGCCTGGACCTATGCCATTAAGGACTTTAAAAGTCATAACCAGATTGGTAGTCTGTAATTCATGGAACAGCGGTGTAATATGAGCCATCCTAAGGGCTCCAAAGACTACACTAGCTGCCACACTTTGCACCAATTGAAACTTCCAAATGGATTTCAAAGGTAGCTCCATGAAAAGCACATTGCAGCAGTAGGGCTTGTATAACTGAATGCAGAGTCTGATCCAGGAAGGATGCATAAATCACAGGTGTGCAAAAGCTCTTCTAGTCATGCTCACTGTTTGTGCAGGAGACATGAATCCAGGAAAACACTCCAAGCTTGGATCTGTGTCCGAACAGCGAAGTGCAACCCCATCTAGAACCCATCTAGAATCAGAAATGTCAAAATCCCAGATTCTGAGGTTCCATGCACCATGCCAGTCAGTCTTGCCAGGGTCCAGTCAAAGTCCATTGTCCCCCATCCAGGACCCCACAGCCTCCAGACATTGCAAGAGAACAGAGACAACATCCCTTGGGTCACCATGTGTAGAAATGCAGAGTTGGCTATCATCAGCATATTGATGATATCTCAACCCATAGTGACAGATGAGCTCACCCAGCGGCTTCATGTAGATATCAAATAGGAGACAGTACAGAGCCTTGCGGGATGCTGTTAAGTGGGCAGTCAGGGACTGGATCTCTCATTTCCTAGCAACATTGATTGTGAGTAAGCTTGGAGAAAGGAGCTAAACTAGCTTAAAACTGTGCTGCCCAACTCCAACTCATGAAGCTGGCCCGAAAGCATGCTGTGGTCAATGGTACTGAAGGCCGCTGAGAGGTCAAGAAGAGTGAGAATGGTTGCACGAACTGCATCTTTCTCTTGCCAGAGATCATCCATAAGTGTGATGAAGACCCGAATCCAGATTGAAAAGGATTCATGAAATCTGTTCCATGCAGAACTCTCTGGAGCTGCCAAGAACTACCTTTTTTACCACTTTCCCTAAAAAGGGAAGATGGGAAACTGGGTGAAAATTTTCAAGGTAGGTGTCATGTGTCTGATTAATGAAACACTTCAAAGAACTTTCAGGCATTTTTTTAACCTAAAAAGCCTTTATTAATATTACAGAGATGTCAGCCCAGCATGGTGGATGCTAAGATCTGAATTTCCGTTCCTTTGCACATAACATTCCAGGCATTTTCCCTCCCCTATTTTGGGGTCATGATTCACATCTTTCAATTAACTTGGAGGGCAAAGATTTACTTCTGTTTCTTTTTCCCGGGCTTTCCTTATATTCTCCTCCCCTTTCACTGTCACCTGATTTAACTCTAAAAATACCAGACAGTTCTGCATATATTGTCAAAGCAAGAATATTCAATATTAGCAGCGTTGACAGTAGGTAGGGTGAAGTGATGATTTCTTAAGGAGAGGACAAACCAAAGTCTCCTTGAAAGGTCTCAGGAATATCCCCTCTCACAGTGAGGAATTTATCACTGCATGAACTCACCTGCTGGTCACCGTCCTGGAGACCTACACTAGTCAGGAAGGACAAGGCTCTAAAGGTAGTTGTTTTATTGACCGCACAGAGCACCCTCTCCACTTCCTTAGGGGTGACAGGGTTAAATTGATCCCAAATTATTGGGCAAGATGACTCCCTAGGTACCTCATAAAGACCTGCACTATGCAAAGGTTCCAACTGGGAACAAATTCAAGTAATTTTATCAAACAGGTGTTCAACAAATTCTTCTTCTTGGTTCTGGAGATGAATGTCCAAGCCTCCCTGGTCTAGAAGAGATTGGTTGATTCAGAACAGAGCAAAAGAACAACACTCTGAGAATGCAATAAGAACGGAGAAGCATTGGTTTTTTCGCTACTGGAGATGCCTTAATAGCGGCTCTGAGACATGTCCAGTCAGACTCATCCTTCATCTTTCTCCAGTGATGCTCTAGACAACTCTTTTCGGAACCCTTAGGTATTCCGTGAACTATGGGGAACAACAGGGACGAAGAGTCAAGAGAGGTCGCATAGGTGGGATCCTGTCCATAGTCTCAGCAGTCTTTTGATTCCAGGCTATTACTAAGGCTTCAATAGAAAATCTTCCGAAATATCAAATCCTATGAGATATCCCCCAGTTCCTCCTGGAATCCAATTAAGTACATCTATCTCTGGGGGGTGGACCACTCAAATTGGTCCAGTCTCCCTGTAGAGGGGAATAGTGTAAGAAAGTCTCAGGGATATTAGGGATAGTAAATCTGATGCTAATCAGTACTGAATCAGAAATATTCCAATTTTCGTTAAATACTGATTTTCCTTGCTTTACGATAGTTTTGTTATAGTTCCCCAAAAATTGAGAAATTATTTTATGATAAATGCAATAAAAGGTGCAATAAAACAGAAATATTGAGAAAAAAACATTAGTACTGCACTTTCTCTTCTCAGGCTAAGCTATGAATCTCCAGATTCAACTGTAGATGGGGTCAATTGGCTTGAATATGACAGAAACCAAATATAACAATGCTAAATTAAGTTCTTTATCTTAAACTAGAGTGGAGCAATTAACTGTTTGAAAGTGCTAGCTCCTCCTTAAACTCACTTCTTCCTGTCTTTGTCATGTTCCAAAAGCTTCTTTGCCCAGTGCTTCATGGCACTGAACTTGAGCAGATGCTGGTTGTTGATATAACTGACATTCCTGCCCTTAGAATTGCTGGCCCCTGGCTTTTATTTCACAGCTGGGAAAGAAATAGGAATTTTGATGGCATCACGGAGAGTGTTGAAATTTCTTCTGAAATTGGTGAGGATGATTAGATAATTGATTAACTTTCCTTTGGTTAGTTCCAAGATATCCTTTCTGCTAAGAATATGCTGAAATTATCTCCACTGGTAGTACATGTTAAAAATACAGACTATTTTAAATCCCAACTACCCAGTAATATATAATCAAAACATTTTGGGCAACAATGATCCTGCAGTCACAAAATCTTAAACTTTCAAAGTTTTAAAATAAATAAACAAGCTTAATTTGAAAATGCTGGAGTGAAAATTTCACTTTCCAATATTCTACTGAAATCTCTCCGTGCATTACTTACCATCCTTCAGGATTGTTTCACGTCCGGAGCCATCAACTTTTTGACGTCCTATCAAGAAACTGGTAGTGTCCGCAAAGTATATGTAATTGGTTTCAGCATGATAATCCAAAGCTCGAGGATTGACCAAATTTTCTATAGGAATCATATGTTCATCAGTTATTTTGGTATTTAGATCCATTCCTTGTATGATGCCCGGACGTCCTTTCCCATAAAACAGGAACAATTCATTCTTTAGTCCTATATTTTAAAAAAAAGGATTAAAAACTTAAATCATAAATCTCTCCTAATATATTTACACTAAATACCAATGCTGCTTTATTTAATGCTAAAACTTTTCGTTTTTTGTTTTTTTTACTTTGGCATCTATAGTTAATGTCTCAGATACTCTGAAGACATCTGAATTCAGAATGATTAAACCAATTAAATTTATTAAATTTAATTAAAACAGGCATTTCTGTGACTGGGTTACATCTAATTAATCACTGATTTTTATACCAATTAATATTTCAAAAGTCCAAAAGAACATAGACTATTGTCAGTGCAAAATGGACTTGTATAAAAATGGATCTATTGATTGCTATTAAGATGTAATTATACTGTAAAATTCAGCAGACACAATTTTTCATTTTTAAATTCAAAAACTAAAGCAAAACAACACAAAGTAATAGATTATACTTTTCTATCTGAATATGTATTAATATTACTTATATATTCCATTACTTGCTTCTTAAGCAGATTCCAACTTTGTAACCTTCAGTAATGAAAATACAAGCACCCAGAGCAACAAGTATGCAAATCTTTTTAAAAAATATCTTTGGATTTGGTTAAAATTGTAAGTAAAATTGTGGCTACTATAACTTGCATTTTGGTAGTTTTTGTATGGGTTCACACAAATATCAGGATGCAAAGTGCTAAATTTATGACAGGACTATCATCAACTAACATCAAAATGTCGAGAAAAGGAAATTTCTGAAAAAAATATTTGAAGATTATATTTTAATACAAATAATACACTGTGATTAGATGTGGGTTAACATGATTTCTATAACACTCCAAAATGGGTACTACAGTTGGGTAATACTATTCTGTAGGAAACAAGAATAATAAGAAATAATGAAATATATCTCTGCTACAAGGTCCAGTCCATACCCAAGAGATGATTGGTTTAATATGGCAAAAACATACTTTGAACACATTCCCCAGCTAATATTCAGCTAGTGCAATTGCTGATTATTATTATTATTATTATTATTATTATTATTATTTAATATAGAGAATTCTACTTTGAACACAAATAATTTCTGGTAAAGTGTTTGACAACATACGTTTGCATGATCTGCCATCACTTCCCAAGACAAAACCCATCCGGCAGCGACAACTCCTGCTTTTATAGCTGCTGCTGAGCAAACAGATGTGTGAACATCTACCTGGCCTTCCTTGCTGGTCTAGTTCACATGCATGGCTTCTTACTGGAATAGATAAAAAAACAAGTAGGAAATTCTTTTAAAAAAAAAGATGATCAAACTCCGTAAGGCAAAAGATAAACCTGAATGTTACAATATCTTATTCATACTCAATAAGAAGTATTTAAATAGTTATTATTTAAAAAATGCTACAGAACAATGTGAAGTCTATAATGTATATCTTGTAGAAGGACGCATATATAGTTTTGATTTTAAATACAGAAAAAGAGAATGTATAAAAATATTATGGGGATAAACTCTGACATTTAGTTTCTATTCTTAACTACGTTTTTTCATTTTTTTCCCCCATGATTGTTTGTATTAAATGAGATCCTACTTTCTGGTTAACAACTGAATAACCAATATGTTTTAATGGTATATGGGAAAGACCTTGGGAAATGGGGCTGGGAAGATACTGCTTAAGGAATGGTCAGATAGAAGAGGGCATAGCCTCCAGCTGCATAATGGGCAGAGAAAGAGATTCAGAAAGAACCCTCCCTAACTTCTCAGACTTAAAAGAGACCCGTAGGAGATTTTCAAGATTCTGTTAAGATAGCCTTACAATAAAGTACTACCATGTTTCCCTGAAAATAAGACCGGGTCTTAGTATTATTTGCCTCCAAAAGAAGCACCAGGTTTTATTTTCAGGGTGTGTGGGTCTTTTATACTCACCTCTAGCATCAACAGCCCTGCCCAGCCAGTCAATTTCTTCTGCGCCAAAGGAGCAGCTTCATTCTGCAGCTGCATTCCAGCCTGAATTTTGCAGTCAGGCCTTCAATCCATAGCTCAGTTCTCAACTGCAGAGGTCTTGCAGAACTGAGCTATAGATTGAATCCATAGCTCAGTTCTCGGCTGTAGTGGCCTTCTGGAAAGGCCTGTGACTGAGAAATGCAGGCCTGGGGATGCCACAGAAGAAGTAGGCCAGTGAGGAGAGGCCTGGCTGCAAGGTAAGTGGGTGCGGGACACATGGGGCAACTCCATACCCCCACTCCTGCCCTAGCTTGATTTTTAGGTGTGTACCTTGCCCCCAAACTAGGGCTTATTTTCAGGGTAGGGCTTATATTAGGGCCACCCCCAAAATAAGGTAGGGCTTATTTCGGGGTAGGTCTTACTTTTGGGAAAATATGGTTTTAGCCTATCTGGTCATGCTTCCTGTCTTGGAAGGCTAGCAATATTCATGTATTATAAGTTCCTCTTGTTACTGTTGTAAAGTCATTTGATTTTTCATGAGCCTAGGCATACTTCAATAATGCTTCAAAATTATCTGGAAAGAGTGACAGGGATCATGCACAAATGCAAACTCAGCAACTTCTGCAAAAATCTGAAAAAAAATGTTACTGCTTTATGGAATCAATACATTTTAGCAATTATTCAAGGAGCAGTGCTATTTCTCTGGGATACTGGAGTGTGGAAGCCTTAAAAAAAAGCAAATGTGTTTTAATGAACAATAGAAAGATACATGTCTCTGCAAGTTCAAGATCTGAATAATTTGTTTAAAAACATTTCAAAATAGTGTGTAGCCCTAGTATGTACATATCTCAGGATTTTTTAGTTGATGCATTAACGCAAAGGAGGATACTATTGCTTTAATTGTTTAACAAGTCATAACACAATTAAACATATATTAAAAGGATGATAGTAATGATAATAGTTAAAATAGTACATGAAACCAAAAATTACATCTACACTATGATCTGAGAGAAAGGAGGAAGAAAAAAAATAACATAACAAAAGGGTTAGAAAAATTCCTAAAAAAAATTGTAAATTTAGAATTTAGTTATTGATAGCAACCAAAAGTTTGGCATAACTTGGAGTAGCTGTTCGAGCAAAGCCTACCATTGCTATTGAGTAGTGAATTGCTGTCCTATTGCTAAAGGAAAAAAAAACCCTAATTCTCTGGGGCTTTTATCAGTTCTTGTGACCTTCCAGGATTGGGGTTACTGAAGAAATTGGAAGGTAGTTGGAAGATTACAGATTACAGATTAGGAACAACTGAAGATATCTGCTGCATTCTTAATCATGTCAAGACACTCATTAAAAAACTTATTAAAAAGAAAGAAATAAATTCTATTACATACCATAGAGAGACCAAGTTACATGACTAGAGTTTGCACTCCATCTAATTTAAAAGGAGGAATGAATTCTAATGAAAAACCAACACTTTGAATTTGGTAGTGAAGGGATTTTATTATGCTTAAGGTTGATATTAATAATATTGATATTAGTAGTGATACTTTGTAACTATATATGTGTGTGTGTGTGTGTGTGTATGTGTGTGTGTGTGTGTGTGTGTGTGTTTAACTAACATATATAAGCTGCAACTAACTCCACCCATGACATTTCCCTATCGAGCTGCTCTCGCCTTGGGAATGCAGGAGAACTACGGGGAGATAGGGAGGCTGTTTGTTATAATCTTAGAGCCTCCACACGCTCCCACAGACATTTGAGAGGAACGGCCCACCGCAGGAATGTACAAGGAGATGCAAGTCATGATCGCAAGGACCCTGCCTCTCTCCCTTTAAGGAGGATTGCACGCCCCCAAGTAATGAGTGAATGTATAAACAACAGTGAGGGGACAGCCCCCTCGGGAGAAGGGGTTAACAATCAACTTGTGGGTGCCACGAATTCCGGGGAGGATGTTAAAATCACCCCCGCTGAAGAGAAAATAGAAAGGGGAGTTAACAAAGTGATACAAAGGATCGGGAAACAGGATGATACAAACACAATGGAATCCTGGGCTACGGACACGAACAATGAGGATATAGTTGTGAAGGAGGATCGTAAACAGAGAAACAGGGGGAGGAGAATGGAAGCAGGGAGTACTAAGAGGGAGGATGAGGAGAATAAACAACATAAACACAGACAGTGCACATTTAACTACATAGAATTAAAGAGTCCCCCCGACTTACAGTCATACAAAGAAGGGAGGAAGAGCTGCGGCATCGGCATAAGCAAAGAAAGTGAGGAAATTACAGCTTGCAATACAGAAACTACGATCAAAACGCAGGTGGATTGGCTGGGACCCATGACGAGGTCAAGAAGCCGGGCGCAAAGAGCGCCACATTTATAAATAGTTTCTTCCATTGACTGGATGCTACCTGCATGATGCTGGCAGAAGCCAGCGAAAGCTTGGTTTTATTCTATTAAAACTTTTTATAGTTTTGTAACTTCCTGGTGTTTGTATATTTTATTGTTTAACATGAGTCTACCCAGGAATCACTGTTTCCAATTTTACGCGGGAGAAAACCCGAACAACCAAAGACATATATATATATATATATATATATATATATATATATATATATATATATATAGGTCTTTGGTTGTTCGGGTTTTCTCCCGCGTAAAATTGGAAGTGTCTTGGCGATGTTTCAACGAAGTCCCATTCATCATCTTCAGGCTGAAGATCACCAGCCTGAAGATGACGAATGGGACTTCGTTGAAACGTCACCAAGACACTTCCAATTTTACGTGGGAGAAAACCCGAATAACCAAAGACCTACATACAAACACCTGCAAAAACCTCACAATATATATATATATGCTGTATGTTACACCCTGTTGCCCAAATATGGGAGAGAGAAATCTTTTGCCTTGTATCAGCTCAAACTAGAGCCATCCATAGGCAGCAGTCACAACTGTGACATCATCTACATTTCTAAAATTTGGATTGCTAGCAAAGAATTAAGGGAGAACTGGAATAGCTATTTCGAACTCTTTAGCTCTTTTCAACCGGACATACCCTTCTGAGATTCGAACCTGGGCTGTCTGCATGTTAGGCAGATGTATTAACCTCTAGGCCAAGGTTCTGTCTCACTTTTGCCAGCTGTGTTAGGGAGGGAAGGAACAGGGGAGGAGTTCCAAATTTTAGAATATATATATATGTATATATATATATATATGTATATATATATATATATATATATATATATATATATATATATATATATGTGTGTGTGTGTGTGTGTGTGTAGGTCTTTGGTTGTTCAGGTTTTCTCCCGCGTAAAATTGGAAGTGTCTTGGCGACGTTTCAACGAAGTCCCATTTGTCATCTTCAGGCTGGTGTTTTCAGTTCGTGCTTTGAGCAGCAATGTGTGGTCTTAGCTGTTTCTTCCTTTTAACTGCCAGTGGGGGTATGAACTGATTGGGTGGGAGCTTGGCTATGTTCTGATTGGGTGGAGGTGTGTTCTGATTGGTTAGGGGCTTGGCTGTGCTCTGATTGGCTGGGGGGTTGGTTGTGCTCTGATTGGCTGGGGGGGTTGGCTGTGCTCTGATTGGCTGGGAGAGTGTTCTGTTTGGTTGTGCTCAGGTAGTCTGAGTTGCAGGGGGGTTTAAGATTTTGGGCTGCCTTGCTATTTTTTGGCTTCGCGTTCGTGGTCGTGCTTCATCTTCATGGAGGGTGTCAGTTTGCTTCATGTATGGATTGGAGGGCATTCTGCACAAACAGAAAAATATCCACCATCCTTAGAAACCCCAAAGATAAAATTGAATTAGAAAATCAAGGAGTATACGAAATCCCATGCACCACTTGTCCCACCACATACATCGGACAAACCAACAGAAGAATAAGTGCACGCATTGAAGAACATAAGAACTCAATCAAAAAAGAGGAACCAACATCTTCCCTGGTCCAACACCTTAAAGCCACAGGACATGAAATTGACTTTAAAAATACCAGAACCGTTGCCAAAAGTGAACATTTTAATAACAGAATAATCAGAGAAGCCATTGAGAAAGAAAAACGCTCACACAGCATGAACAAGCGAGATGAAACCTCCCGCCTACCAGCCATTTGGAAACCCGCCTTTATTGACAAACGACTCCCTAACACAAAAAATGATACCAGACCCACACTCACAAAAACCACACAGGATGTCACCACCACACATCCACGCAAAAAGCAAACCCAAAGCCACACCGATGATGAGGCACGACCACAAACCAGAAGCCACAGCTGCATCATTAGCCACTTTAAAACCCTCCAATCCATACATGAAGCAAACTGA